ATAATGTAGTTTGATGATTATGTTAGTTTTAGTTATTTTTGTGCATCAGCTAAATTAAAATACTAAATATCATTGTTTGTTAATAGCCGTTCATTGAGTTTTCTTCTGGATACAATAATATTAAACAAAAAGAAAATGTGCATATTTAGGGACAAAACAAAACAAAGTGTAAAAAAAACGTGAAGAACAAAAGGAATTGTAAAAAAAGTAAAAAACTAAACAAAATAAAAAGCAAAACATAAAAAACAAAACATAAAAAACATAAACAAAACATAAAAAACTAAATGTAAAAAACAAAACAAAATGTAACAAGCATAAAAAACTAAATGAAAAACGTAAAAATGTAAAAAACAAAAGACATAAACATAAAAACGTAAAAAACAATGTAAAAACAAAACAAAATGTAAAAAATGAAAAACAAAACTAAAGTTAAAAAATATTTTAAAAAATGTAAAAAACTTAAACTTAACGAAATGTAAAAAACATAAACTAAACAAAACAAAAAAGAAAATGTAAAAAAAGCAAAAATACAAACTGTAAAAAAAGAATGTAAAAAATGTAAAAAACTAAACAAAAACTAAACAACGCAAAAAACCCCATAAAAGTCGTAAAACATAAAACAAAAACTAAACAGTTTAAAATTGAACAAAACAATGCATGAAATTAAAAAAACATAACGAAATGTAAAAAAACTAAACAAAATGTAAAAAATTTCAAAAACTAAATGTAAAAAAATGTAAACGAAACATAAAAACAAAATAAAATGTTAAACTTAAAAACTAAATGTAAAATACAAAAAACAAAACAAAACATAAAACTAAATGTAAACATTTTTAAAAACATACAAACGTAAACAAATCTAAATGTTAAAAAAAAAATAAAAATACTGTAAAACCAAAATAAAATGTTAAAAACTGAAAAAACTAAATGCAAAAAAACAAAACAAAAAACTAAAAGTAAACATTTTTTAAAAACATACAAACGTAAATAAAACAAACCCCAAAGAACTCAAAGCAAAACATAAATGCAACATATAAATATAAATATTAAATATAAATAAATTGATTTTAACAACACAAAAATACAAAACAATAAAATAATTTTCATAAATATTTAAAAAAAGACACTAAAGCATAAAACATTTATAACTGCAAATGTGAACATATACCTTGGTCACAATTGAACCTTTAACATTTATTTAATTTCACTTATTTTATTTAATTTGAGTTGTGCAAGTACCAAAAGGTTTTTTATTTTAGATCAGATCACAGCCCTGACAGGTAATCCTATCACTATACTGTACAGTAAGTGTATTTCAGCACAGCTTGAGTTGTGAATTGGCCAAGCAGAATGCAGGACGAGAAGTACATCTCCTAAAACATGAGATTTTGGTACAGTATTACTGCTCAGGAAAACGAATGAAACATATTAAAATGTCCTCTAATCGTTTTGTCTTTATTCTAGGCCATACAGCCGAGATTTGCATGTAAATGAAGAGAGAAACGGCAGTGAAGATGAAGCTGCTCATTTGATGCTGCGCTGGTGTTTTCTGGAGATTGATCAAAGCGCTCTGTGAACGCCGGTGCACACTTTGATCTGCTTTTGTCTTTATTTCAGGCTAGCGAGAGCACATGCTAATGTGAGAGTGTAATTGGGCTTGTCTTTGTGTGTGTGAGGCTCGACTGACGTCATGTTTATAGTGATGAGCTTCAGGGATTTCTGCCGCTGTTGAGGTCAAGGGTCACGCTGTAAAGGGCAGCGACTCAGCCATGAATAATCCTGTGCACAGTGTGTGTGTGTCGAGTCTGCTGATGATACTAATGTTTACTGATACTAGCTCTAACTGTACAGTCTACTAACACTCTAATGCGAATCATTTAGAAATACAACATCAAAATACACTGATGCTGTAGTTTATACAGGGCGGCACAGTGGCTCAGTGGTTAACACTGTAAGAAGGACACTGGCTTGAGCCTCGGCTGGGTCAGTTGGTGTTTCAGTGTGGAGTTTGCATGCTCGTGTTGGTGTGGGTTTCCTCCGGGTGCTCCGGTTTCCCCCACAGTCCAAACACATGCGCTATAGGGGAACTGAATAAGCTAAACTGGATGTAGTGTACGAGTGTGTGTGAATGTGATTGTGTATGAGAATTTCCTAGTACTGGGTTGCAGCTGGAAAGGGCATCCACTGTGTAAAACTTATTCTGGATTAGTTGGCGGTTCATTCCACTGTGGCGACCCCTGATGAATAACGGACTAGGCTTTGCTGTTTATACAAAGGTGTCCCCCAGGGATCTGTCCTGGGACCTCTTTCCTTGTGTGTGTATAATTACTCTTCAGAGCTCCAGTCATGAATAATCCTGCACTTTTAAACTCTGTGAATGCCGTGCTGTGTGTGTCCACTGATAACACTGACCAGCAGAGGAGGGTGTGTTTTACTGTGGTGTTCAGTAATGAGATACCATTGTGGTTTTTATTAACTGATTAAATTAGATTTATTCATTATTCCTTGGCATCCAGCATCCAGTGTAGTGTTTTTTTAGTTACACTGTAAGGTGACATAGTTACATTGTAATTTAATTTACTAAATTGGTGGTTCATTCCACAGTGGCGACCTCTGAATAATAAAGGGACTAAGCAATGAATGAATGAATAATATGATTTATTATATGTACTTGCTATAAATGGTTGGGGTTAGATTGCCGGATGACACTGTAGTTTAAGTAACACTTCGCTTTACTACAGTTTATTACCTGCCTATTATTATGATAAGAACTGTTTATTAGCACTTATAATTTTTAATCTTATTCTGCATCCCTAATACTATCCAATACCTAAAACCAACTACTATTTTACTAACTATAAATAAGCCGCTATTTAGTAGTTAGTAGAGGTAAACGTCTTAGTTTATGGTTTTGTTAATAGACTGAACTGTACATGAAGTGTGACAGAATGCAGGTTTGTTTAAAGTTAGTTACATGTAATTATCAATAATTTATTGTAAATATTATAGTAAATGCATGGATCATAGTTCAAACTACTTATCTGTGAAATGGTTCATTGCATAGCTTGTTAGTTTCTCCAACAATGCATCATACTATGGATATACGCTTCATAATATGGATATTTGGAATATATTATTTTTCTCTATTATTGTTCTATGCTATTTTTATATTATTTTTTGTTGTTTTCAAGGATATGTGCAGTTGCATAAGCATTTCACTGCATATTGTACTCTGTATGAATGTGACAAACAATTTTTTTAGAGTCAAAATTATTCACCCTCCTGTGATTTATTTATTTATTTATTTAAAAAAATCTTTTTCACATATTTCTCAAATGATGTTGAACAGATTCAGGAATTTTTCACAGTGTGTCTGATACTATTTGTTCTTCTGGAGAAAGTCTTATTTGTTTTATTTTGGCTGGAATAAAAGCAGTTTTTAATTGTTTTAAACACCATTTTAAGGTCAATATTATTGGCTCCTTCAGCAATATTAGTGTTGGATTGTCTCCAGAACAAACCACTGTTATACAATGACTTGCCTAATTACCCTAACTTTACCCTAATTACCCTAGTAAAGCCTTTACATGTCACTGTAAGCTGAACACAAGTGTCTTGAAGAATATCTAGTCTAATATTGACGGACTTGAGACGCAGAGAGAAGTTGACTGCAATGACAGGGTTTGAGTCCAGTGAAGAACAGTTCCAGAAAGCAGGTAAAACAAAAACAGAAGCCAAAGAATAAAATAAAGAAGTAAATAACAGAGTGAGAATGTGGTAAAATCTGAAAACATGGTAAAAATCAGGCGAAGGCTTTTCTTTTTCTGGATTCCTTTTGAAAGCACTATCAGTTGGGTTTAGCGAAGTGGGTGGGCAGGTCAGTGGGTGATTTTGAAAGCACTATCAGTTGGGTTTAGCGAAGTGGGTGGGCGGGTCAGTCGGTGCTTTTGAAAACACTATTGGTTGGGTTTAGGGAAGTTGGTCGGCGGGTCAGTCGGTGCTTTTGAAAACCCTATTGGTTAGGTTTAGGGAAGTTGGTCGGCGGTTTGGTTGGGTTTAGGAAAGTCGGTCGGCGGCTCAGTGGGTGCTTTTAAAAACACTATTGATTGGGTTTAGGGAAGTTGGTGGGCGGGTCACTCGGTGCTTTTGAAAACACTATTGGTTGGGTTTGGGGAAGGAGGAGGGTGGGTCAGTCGATCAGTCAGCCAGTCATTTGACAGCAGCCTCTGGTGGATTTAAAGGTACAGTATGTCCACAGTCATATTAGGGTGATAGAAACATAATAAGTCTCTTTTTTTTAATTTTCTGATGTTAAAATAGGTTCCAAATCCCTCCCTTTTTCAGGTCAACCACAACGTGATGTAGTGCAGTTTCCCCACCCACCAAATTGATTGACAGTCGTGTATTAACATGTCTTCGTAGTAATGTGTATAATCAAATCAACAAGACAGGATGCAAGCAAATCTTCTGGGATTAAAAGATCTATTCAGCTCTCTGCGATCATCAATCATCATCAAATGTGATCAAGAATGAGTTTCACAAGTTTAAAATGCTTTTAAAACAGTGCATGTTGGTAATAAAGACAGAAAATTTGCTATGTAATTCATCTCCACAGCTGCATAGCGTCAATACAATTTTGATTTTGAAAGTTTGTGAACTTAAATCAGGTTTATTTTGTACATTAACATAACAATGTCCATACTGCAGTGAATATTTACGTGTACCCTGTCACATTTGCTGTGCAAAGACAAGCATGTGGGAACAGTAGGCGGGGAGAACCAGCTCATTAGCATTAAAGGCACAGGCCACAGAAATAGCTGCAATGTTAAAACAGAAAAAAAAAACGTAGCTCCTGGGACATATTTGGCACTCTCCAAAAATGTATACAGGGGTACATTTTCAGAATGAGCCTGGGTTGAGTATTTGTCAGCCGTGCAACGGTACATGAGAGTTGAAATCCATTGAAATCCACTGAAAGATGTCTTTGCTCTGTATTTCAGGTGAAAAACGTGTTTCCTCAGGAAGGTTTCGGCCGTCAGAAGCGAGGCTACAGAGATCTCCCAAACACTGACGTCAACATGAGCGACCCGCTTTTCACCAAACAGTGGTATCTTGTAAGTAATCACTGTCTTCATATACGCTGACCTTTAACATCGCCGCTGTTTGTTGTCGCCCGCTGATGACTTTAAACCACTTTCCTCATTGACTGTCAACATCAGCATCACTGCACCAAAATATAGTGATATTTCCCTGATTTCTCCAGGGCTCATCGTGACAGCAGAGCGCTCTTTAATTTAGTTTGTCAGTTATAAACACTCCACAGCAGGGTTCGGGTGAAGTGTAATATCTGCGTGACATTTATTTTCCACCTCCCTCATAACATCTCATTTTCTGTGCTGCTTGATTAGATAAACACAGGTCAGGCTGACGGGACCCCGGGGCTGGATCTGAATGTGGCCGAGGCCTGGAGTTTGGGGTTCACCGGGAAAGGAGTGACCATCGCCATTATGGATGATGGTACGGTAATTTTTTTTAATTATCATAAACTGAAAAATTGAACACTTTCAGAATGAAATGCCGCCGACTTGCCGTCGAAGACAGCCGTCCACTTGCGGTATCAGTGTGCTTACCTGTGTGCCACCTGGCGTGGCGCATCCTATGTGTGACTCTCTTTACGATGGTCTACCCTTTTTGCATCCTTGTTAAACCTTACACTGCTAACGATCCAAGGTTTGTTTTAATTTTGCAAGCTGAACGCATTCTGTAGTGTACAAGAGAAATAAAAGAGGTTGATTGACAAGGGTCTACAGCCAATCAGGATGCAGAACACAATGCGCTGTAAACTGCACACAAAAAAATAGCCACAAAACTGCACGAAAGGTGAACGACATTCTAGCGAGGGACCACTGTATAGCTTTGCTTTGTGCACTCTCAGAAATAAATAAATGGACAAAAGCTGTCACTGAGGGCGATGCCTTTTTAAAAGAGGCGAATGGTGTGTACTGAATACTTTCCCTTTTACATGTGAAGACTTTAGTTTTGGTTTTTATTTGAATTTAAATGAATAAAAAAGAAAGCACGATTCACCAAAATAAGGTCTTTGTTGCATTTCTAAGCAATAAATATACTTTTTTTTAACATCTCTTGGCAGGTATTGATTATCTGCATCCAGATCTCGCCTCAAACTACGTAAGTACTTGTTTTTTCTCCTATTAAATGTATGAACACTCCAGAAAAGAGCCCTACTTCTTTTTTTTTTTCAAAAGTCTTTGGTGATCTCTTGACATTGAACAGGATTTTGCACAGAAAATTACTTGTATATTTGGAAAATTTGGGGCGGCATGGTGGCTTAGTGGTTTTCTGTCGCCTCACAGCAAGAGGGTTACTGGTTTGAGTAACGACTGGATCAGTTAGTGTTTCTATATGGAGTTTGCATGTTCTCCCCGTGTTGGCGTGGGTTTTCGAAACACATGCGCTATTGGGGAATTGATGAACTAAATTGGCTGTAGTGAATAATAGTGTGCATGGGTGTTTCCCATTAATGGGTTGCAGCTGGAAAGGCATCCGCTGAGTAAAACATATGCTGGATAAGTTGGTGGTTCATTCCCCTGTGGCGACCCCTGATGAATAAAGGGACTAATCTGAAGGAAATCTGAACTTTAACTAACATTAACACATGAAACCTTATGGTAAAGTGTGTCTGTGTGGTGTTTATTAATGTGATTCTCTCCGCAAACCGTTAAATTCTGCGATGGAAGTCAGAAGCAGAATATTTGCACACGGTCCTGGATATCTGCCAGCGCAATAGAGAGGTTATTGTTTTGAGACCCGCTGAGCTCGATGAGCCGCGGGTGTGTGTGTGTGTGTGTGTGTGCACCACAGATGAGTTTCATCCCAAAAATAACCCAGCTGACTGCGCTGGGGGAAGATGCTGGTATACGCTTCACTCGTCTGATGTCTTCAACCGGGTCCTGTCCTCCTCTGCTATAGGGCGGCACGATGCTGGGAAAATCTGACATGCCATATATTTGTATTTCTGCGATCATACACTGCAATATACAGTATTAGCTGTGGTTAGCACTCACAGTAAGAAGGTCACTGGTTCGAGTCCTGGCTGGGTCAGTTGGTGTTTATGTGTGGAGTTTGCGTGTTCTCCCCGTGTTGGCGTGGGTTTCCTCTGGGAGCTTCAGTTTCCTGTCCAAACACATGCACTATAGGGGAACTGATCAGCTAAATTGGCTGTAGTGTATGAGTGTGTGTGTGTGAATGAGTGTGTATGGGTGTTTCTTAGTACTGGGTTGCAGCTAGAAGGGTATCCGCTGTATATAACTTTTGCTGCTGCGGTTCAGTCCGCTTTGGCAACCCCTGATAAATAAGCCACACGTACACATACACACACATACATACAAACAAACGTTTCACTGGGTCTGTCAGCGTGTGTGTGTGTGTGCCTGAAGTGTGTGTGGGTAAAAATAGATTGGGGATGATTTGCCTAATAAGGACTAATGTGGGATGAGGAGCGCATTAGCATAATCGTTTGAAGGATTTTTAATTTTTTTTGATGACAGGGGACTGGATTTAATTCATTGCGCGCTAACTGCAGTCTCCAGGCGGAGGCCAAATGGAGAAACGCCAGACAGCAGAGCATCACGCTTCAGCCGCACACCAGTGCTACTTTCCAATGTGCTCTCCGTTTCCATGGCGATCAGGGTGATGATGTCATGCGCAGAGTCCGTCGCATGTGCTGAAAGTTTGAGCACACAGAAATAGTGCAGCATCATCAGCTATTTCTTCATCAGCTTTACATCTTTCGGATGAGACGTGAAACTGAGGTCCTGACTCTCTGTGCTCATTAATAATCCCATGGCACTTGTCGTGAAAGAGCAGGGGTGTAACCTCGGTGTCCTGGCCAAAGTCCCTCTATCGGCCCTTACGATCATGGCCTCCCAATCATCCCCATCCACTGAATTGGCTCTATCACTATCCCTCCACTCCACCAATAGCTGGTGTGTGGTGAGCGCACTGGCGCCGTTGTCCTGTGGCTGCCGTCGCATCATCCAAGTGGAGCTGCACACTGGTGGTGGTGTGGAGAGACCCCCCCTCATGATTGTGAAGTGCTTTGGGTGTATGGCCAAACACAATAAATGCACTATATAAATACACACTACATTACATTACATTTAGAGCGATGATACACTCCAAAATAACTTTTACTGCTTGATCAAACTACGTTTTGTTTTGTTTTTTTGGGACAGCCTAATTGTTCGGTTGCAGCACTGGTTCATTGTGGATACACACCCCTGTCTACATCTCTGGAGATCGCGAATTATGTGGCCGGAGACACATTTGGCCGTATTTCATCTTTAAAATAAATGCTATGGAGCCACCACAGCTTCTGTTTCTTTTCATGCTAGTGTAACACCGCCGGTTTTACACCACCCAACCCGCTCTGAGCTGGGATCGAACCGGCGACCTTCCGCACAGGAGTTGGTTGCTCTGGAAACCATGATCTTTAGCCTCCTTGTTAGCACCTTCAGAGGTCAGAGGAGTGAGGTTTAACTGCACAGCCCTTCACTAGCTGGTCTCCGTTACACTCGCGGCTGACCACTTACCTCTGTGTGGAAGACTTTTCCAATGTTACAAGTTTATCCAGTGGCTTACCGCATACACTGGTGGACTTGGGACACAAAGTGGAGTCGACCACGATGTCAGGGTTCGAGTCTGGCGTGAAACAGTTCCAGAAAGCGGGTAAAACAAAAATACATAAACAACAGGCTGAAAACGCTTTTGAAAACACTGTCGCTTGGGTTTAAGGAAGGGGGAGGGTGGGTCAGTCGGTCATTCCATCCTCAGCAAGCTGGCCTGGTCGGCTGAAGTGTATATTGCGCCCTCTGGTGAACTTGTGTGAGAAGAGGCCGCGCGAGAGGAATTCATTCATTTATGTTTTTTGTCGGCTTAGTCCCTTTATTAATCTGGGATCGCCACCGCGGAATGAACCGCCAACTTATCCAGCGGATGCCCTTCCAGCCGCAACCCATCTCTGGGAAACATCCACACACACTCATACACTACGGACATTTTAGCCTACCCAATTCTCCTGTCCCACATGTGTTTTGACTGTGGGGGAAACCGGAGCACCCGGAGGAAACCCACGCGAACGCAGAGAGAACATGCAAACTCCACACAGAAACACCAAATGAGCCAGCCGAGGCTTGAACCTGCAGTCCAGCGATCTTCTTGCTGTGAGTTGAAAGCACTACCTACTGCGCCACTGCGTCAAAAAACTACTGAGCCTCTGGTGGAAAAAAAAGAAACTGCGAGCAGACGTACATGTGGCTACGTTTTTCGCTGTCCTCAGAAATGTAGACCCGGGGTCTGTTCTTCGTGCCTAGATTAAATGATCTAAGATGATTTGGATCTGATCCTGGATCTCAGCTAATTTGGTTCTTCAAACAAGTTCGTGAATCAGATTAAAATGTCTCGATAAACTGACCTGAGATCGTTGCTTGTGTCGTGAAGGACTAATCTATCGATTCTCGAAATCATGATCAGCAATGCAATGATTGGGTGACAGCACAGCAGCATGATGACATCATCTGATTGATATTCAATTATCCATGTGAGCAAAATTACAGAACATTTGTAGTAAATAATTTGATAAATGTAATGACACGCAATAACTTTCCACCTTTGTTGTGGGCTGCGGGCTTTCACTGAGCTTTTTAGTCATTTTACTTAGTTTTACATTTAGAGTGAAGGTTTTTTATTGTAGTAGCCTATAAATATTTAAGTTTCTTAATCGGCGTAGGGAATGTTTAAAATAATTTTGCATCAAAAAAGCAGTTTAATACTGGTAAAAGTTGTTTGATAAGTGTCTGTTTCTAATCCAAATATCTAAAAATTCTTAAATCAGGCTGAAATAAATCGAAATAAGCAAAAACACAATTTTGTGCTTGTCTAGACAATTCTTTTTGATTTAAGAGCTTTTAGATATTTGGACTAGAAACGAAACAAAAACCCAAAATGCAACTAATGTTTTTTTTTACTAAGCAGAAATTCAAACCGTTTCCCTGATGACGTTTGACAGTCTCCAAATCAGTGAAATAAATGATCAAACTATTAAATATTACCTGCCATGAGTATAACTGCATTCACCATAGGGAGGCGCTATAATCACTCTCGTAGGAGAATTTTGCTTTCACCATCCAAAATAAATAAAATTATCCAACATATGCACCCGATAGCTCCGCCCCTTCAGCTACATGAGCAAACCTGTGGTCGTTGAGTGCATAAAGTGTCCATCATTACACACATCATTTTACCGGCTGAATGAGTGCGTTATCCGGGTAATAAAAGTGCACTTATTATTTTTAGAGTTTTCAGTGTGAACACACTACTTACACTATTTATACTACAAAGTGGCGTAGAATAGTGCATAAGTATGCGATTTGGGACGCAGCTATACATATAAAGCCTGATCCAATTCTATATTAGTTATTTGCCTAAAAATGTCTACTACAAAAAACAACTAAATAAATGAAAATGTATTGAATCAAATACAAATAAAAGCTAAAGCACTTATAATCTGGTCTAATAGTTTATACACAGAATAGGTTATGTTCATATCAGGCACTGACACACACCTGTTCTGCTTGTCAGTGATTAGTCAATAATTAAGCCGTGGTTTTCCGTTGTGCCAGCTCTGGTGTTGTTTTGTTAGTGTGTCCGTGTTTGGTGGTTGTATTCATGTTTTTTCATGTAATTTCCTGTGTATTCCCTGTGGATTTATTATGAACGCTGCTTTTGTTCTCTACTCCTTTGTTGTGCTTTTCTTTTTTTTACAACCACTGGCCTGTTACACAACACCAGAGCCTCAGACTGAGGCTGATTAAGGATTTCACACTGCTTCTCTTACCTAGAGTCTTTGTCTTGTTTAAAATCCAAATATTAAATCTCCTAAAACACACTGAGTTTGCCAGAAAAGTAAAAAAATATTGTAATGTTTTTAGAAATAATGTCAAAATTAAGTGGGTTTATTTAGATAAACCCACTTACAGATTATGTTGTTTGTTTTAAGGAAAATGCTCTTAATTTCATTTTACTGTTTCTGAAAACAAGACATTTTAATGCTGTTGACTATGACTATAGGAAATGCTTCCTTATTTAGGAAGCATAATAAAAGAATATTT